TGTTCTACAAAAAGGGTACAACATACAAACAATTACAAGAGAGAGAGAGAGAAAAAAATTGCCTGGTCGTGGAATTTCTTTTTTCTTTTCTTTTTTTGCCCATTGAATCTTGAGCCTTCCATGGGCTTGATCAAAGATATATATATATATATATATATGAATATATAAAATATTTTGAACATAATTAGTTTAATTAAATAATAATAATAATAAAATAATAAAGTTGAAATAATATAAAATATAAATATTAGATTAAAAAAACTGCCTTGGCAACTATCTGAAATAAGTATAAGCTGAAGTATTAAAATGTCTAAAACTGAATAAATAAAAATAAAAGTAAACCAAAATAAAAATAAATTAAAGTTGAATAAATATTTATAAAACAAAAAAGACAAGCACAAAAATGACTAAAACTAAAAGTAAAATTAAAGCTAAAATATAAGAATAAAAGCTAAATCAAAATAATTAATAAATAGTCAAACTTTTTTTTTTTTTTGGCTGAGTTTAGTACATAAATAATACTAAAATGACACACGTTTGCTTTTACTAGTTTTACCATAAACTCTTTCCACTTTCCTGCTACCAACCCTATAAGCTCATAAAATTGTTCTTCCGTGATGCTTTCTTCACTGCAAGTCATGTGGAGGTCAAAGTGGTGTATGACATGAGAGTATAAGGCCCTTTACACTTACTTTCAAGCATTCACTTTATTTGAGCAATTAAGGAACAGTAGGAATGCTACAGCCGAGAAGAGAAGGGACAGCTCAATCAGCCGTAAGACACTAAGGATCAATTTCGAGGTGTAGTTTGTTATCGTAAAGAGGTCACACAGTGCCCTTGACGCTCAATATGTGTCTGTCTATCAGAGTAACGGAAACACATAAATCAAGCCCACACTTTAGCAAGATTCACCTCTCTTTGCTGCTTCATGACGTGTCCTTGAGGTTTAAAATGACTGTACATGTGCGATATCAGTGGCTGATGTGAGGAACACTGGTGACTCTGAAATCTTTGTATCATGTTTTTTTTTTCTCTATTATAAATCAAGAGGATCGATCTATGAAATGCAATTGAGGGTAAAATACACCTAAGCGTCAGGTTAGTTTTGACATACTGTAGTCAGCAGTTTGCCAGAAAGAAACCCATTTGTTGCCAATTAAGGGCAAACAATCAAAGAGTGAAACAGGCAAAGAATCCTGATGCATTTTTTATAAAGACAAAACAGAAAACAAATCCATCCCCTGGTAAGTTTCATATATTCTAGTATCATAGCTAGACTCTTGAATATCTGCATATGGAGATCAAGCAAGAAAAAGCCTTTTTCTTGAGCCAAAGGTCAGTGCTTTTCTCACTTCAGAAGAACTGAATGATTGAATTCACAGATGAGAGCCATATAACACATCTGACACCTCTGCCTGTGAACACGTATATATATCACCAAAAATGAGATGGAAATGTCAAGCTGATGCATCATGGATATAGACAGTTTGACAGTGGACAAGCTATTAAATAACCAAATATCTTTCTGACGGATTCTGTGTTACAGCTCACCAGTTTTAAACAGTCTCCTCACAGGTATAAAAACATTAGCAGTGTCAGATATTGATTTTTTCATGATTGCTTCGTTGTTTATCAGATCTTCGTTCATGTTCTTGGTAATCTAAAATCAGTTTGGTATCTCTCTAAATAAGTCATCATTTATGTTTGTCATTTGGATTAGGTCTTATTGACCCAGACGCTGCTCATTGACTTTGTCTAGTGGTACCTCATAAAGCTCTTTTGGCCTTTTGGGAAATGAGAAATCAGATTTTTCATAATCTTTGGAAATAAATTAGTTCAGTGCACTATGAAAACACTCTAACTTTCAGAACTCAAACATTTCTCTCCAGTCTAAAAGACAGTTCAAAAGAATATAGAGAAAAAAATCAGTTCTATGTTATTTAGTGTTTTCTATTTTGTGTCAGTTTATTACATTTTTTATTTCAGTTTTAGTTTCATTATTAATTTGAGTATTTTAGCATTGCCAAAGTTAATGTGTTAAGCTAAATGAAATAAACATTTAGTTTTGCACATGGGTATTTAGATAACTTGTGACTAAACAGGGTTATGATAGTTTTGAATTATAGTAATTTCAGTTTTTATTTCTATTTTATGTTCTATGTAAGATTAGTTTTAGTATTTTCAGCGTTTGTTAGTTTGTTTTTATTTATCTATTTCAGTTTTGTTTTGTTTTTTAGTTTCATTACAACTTCAGCATTTTAGCACTACCAATGTTGATGCGTTAAACTAAACTAAATAAAAATATTCAGTTTTGCACATGGATATCTTGTTAACTTGCTACTAAACAGGGTTGTTGTATTTTATTATTTTTTTTAATTATTATTATTATTATTATTTTAATTTTAGTTTTTATTTCTATTTAATGTGCTGGGTTCAGTTTTAGTATTTTCAGTGTTTTATATTTTATATTTTTATATATTTTGTTATTTATATTTTAAGACTATGAAAGTTAATGTATGAAACTAACCTGGTGTTAATCAACTGGCATTTTCATCTAGTGACAGCATTTGTTTATTGTGAGTGGTTTATACATGTTTCATGTTTTATATTATGGCATGTATCACAAAACTACATTCAATTCATGCTTATCTTCATTTAATTTAGTTTTGGAGTCATGTTAAGCAAGAAAAGCTTTTTCCCCAGTTTCATAAAAAAAAAGTCTTCCTTTCAGATTACAGCTTATTAGGTTGAGAAGGTGCTTTCTAGTTTTGTGCGTCAGATGGTTATGGAAAGGGGTGTCATTTTGTCTTATTGACCCAGTGCATCAGCATGTCTAGTAGTAGCTCATAAATATATATTGGACTTTTGATTGGAATTATCTGTTTTATCTTACCCTGATTGGCTCCTTTCCCACTCATTTCTAGTGGTCACAGTCTTTTAGAGACTACATGCTTATAGTTCATCTTGGGGGATGTTTATTGGTCTCTTGGGACTGTTCGCTTTGGATGTAGTGGAGTGTGTGACTCTCACATCTGTTTGGCCACGCTGCCCTTTGACTGTCTGTTCAAATGTTAGTGGGATGTGAGTGGCATACACATGTTGTCAGAGAATGAAAGTGCATGTCATGCTTCATCTCGCTGGAATGACAGCACATCTGACAGGTCTTCCTGTTATCCAGGCTTTGGCACAGACTTATGAGACATCAGCCCGGACCGCACAAGCTTGTTAAATGCCTCGGCTTTCCTAATAGAGCCAAAATCTGTCCTCCATGCTGTAATCAGAATTTAGTTGTATTTATTTAGCTTCTCTGTTTTTTTTTATTAAATTATTAATTAAAAAAATCTCATCATAATTAATTAAATTAAAACAAGGCTAGTGGAACGTGATCTCTGATAAAATGAGCTTTTTTCTTCTTGAGTGTAATTACCCCCCTCATTTTTGCTATTGCTGCAATCAGCATCTGAATACTTTATAATATTTGATAAACAGTTATGATTGTACATTATAATGTGGAGTGTATGGTGCAAAACGCTGACCTGTACTATATTATTTGTCTTGCAGTTGTACTCTGAGTGTCACGCTGGAACAGGCCATTCTTCTGGCCCGCAATCACGGCTTGCCCCCACGATGCATCATGCAGGCCACTGACGTCATGAGGAAGCAGGTATGTTCTGTTCTTGGGTAACACTTTTGGCCCTGTAGACTTTTAGCCACGTTAAACTCCAAGCACACTTTTTCCACTTTTTTTTCCCCACTAACAATGTCCAACAGTACATGTACAGAACCATTCAAAAGTTGGGGGTCATTAAGGTTATTTTATTGTTTTTGAAAGAAGTCTCATGCTGTAAGACTGCATTAATTTGATCAAAAATATAGTAAAAACAGTAATATAGTAAAATATTGTTATTATATATTATTATAAGACATTAATATAATTTAAAATGACTGTTTTCAATTGTAATATATTTTAAAATGTCATATACTGTATTCCTGTGACAGCAAAGCTGCATTTTTAGCATCATTATTCCAGTTTTCAGTGTCACGTGCTCCTTCGGAAATCATTCAGTATGCAGATTTTGGGCTGAAGTAACATTTCTTTGAAAAATAGAAAGTTCAAAAGAAATTTATTTGAACTCGTGGTCTTCATTCGTAATTCAGATGTCATCATAAATGTCTTCAATGTCTTATAAAATAAGTCAATGTCAATGTTTTGATCAATTTATTTGATAAAAAAAAAAAATACTGACCCTAAACTTATTAATAATAGTGTACATATACATCACATTATAATTATCTGAAATGTGTTAATAACATTTTTTGATGGAAGTGACATTGGAAACAATTTTGACTTTCAAATGCTAATTTCATAGCTAGTATCTTATGTATCCTAAATACACAACATTAAATAATATTTATTTTCTTGTGCATAATAACAATAATATAAAAAAATACTCAAGTCACTTTAAATGTGATTTCCATATAACAAAAACAAAAAAGCTGAAATCTGTAAAGATCGAAGAACCCTATTACTGGTTGTCTACTCAACGTTATGTTAGCTCTCTGTAGAATGGACCATTTTTTTAATATTTTTATTTTATAAACCCATGTTTTCTCATTTAAAGCTTCTACTGGGAAATTCATTTATATGGTTTGGTTTCAAAGTGCCATTTCCAGCAGAGAAAAAGATGGGCTAATATCTACCTCTGCTTTTTAATGTTTTCTGAATTTTATGGACCCCGTTAATTTATTGGGAATTACAGTTGCAAAAAAATCTAAACATTAGGCCACCGTGTTCATTTCGAGGAGGATTTCTTTTTATCAAAGGCCTGTTTAATTATTTTGGGAACTGTAACAAGCTTAACTGCCTTGGTTTGCTTTCTCTCATTTCGGTTTCTCTACATGGCTATTAACATAAGCTCTTCCTCCCTCCGGTCTGGAAGGAGGATAGACGCTCATGAAATGAAGTCTCGCTACCTTTCATTTAGAAAGTGGAAGATTACCTAACCATTTTCACCCTAGCCTTGAAGTGTCCTTCATGAAGTTATGGATGAAACTGACAGGGTCTGCTCTTTTGATATCATTAAGCTATGGAGACTTGTATAGAGGGCTAGGACAGCTGCTCTGTCAGCTCTGAAGAAATGAAACTTCAAGGTGGCTCTGAGTCATGAGAGGCAAAGACTAGAGAGCCCTTGACAGTAACTCAGATATCTTTCAAAAGAGTACAATAGGGCAGTGTTTCTCATCTCATGTGTTAGCCAATGTGTCATTTATACATTTACTGTAAGTTTTAATCATTATTTAATAATAAAAGTAGTAATATAAATAACTAAAGTAAATGTTATTTATGTATTCAAAGTAATATTAAATAGTCATAATTAATTTAAATAAATTAATTATGAATACGTGTATGCACATATACAGAATAAATCATTGATTTGCATATACACTGTCACAAAACTGATCATGACACATGAATTATTTTTCCATGCATTCCACTTCTGGTGTTATCAATGCATTTGCTGTCAATTTTAATCATTAATTAATAATACAAGTAGTAATAAAATGATTTAAGTGTTTTTATGTAAAGTAATTTTAAATAAACAAAATTACAATGAATTAAAATTAAATTAATTAATAATAATTATTAATAGATACGATAGCTAGAACATGTCAAACCACTACATTATAGGGACTTTATGAGTAACTATTTATCTTTCACCTGAGGATAGCCATACTTTTTATAATATATATTCGCATACCTGATTTTAAAACTGCTGAATTCATATAATATGTATGGCATATAATATGTGATGTTCTGGACTGCCTTTGGGTGATGACTCCTTACCTGCGGCGTCCAGGCTCCAAAATGACTTTATAAATATAAATATGAATGACTGTCGTCAGAGCTCCCCCTGGCTGACTATTTATTATTATTCACTAATTCGTACCTCGCAGCAAGACTTAAAAGAGACTCATCCATTATAATGCCAGGAACTCACTGAGTAACAGAAAGGGACACTGACGAATAGCTCATTTATGCAGTTTCTGTGTATAAACACTAAATTGCTGAACTGCTAAAATGAGTTAACCATATTTTTAGGGAAGTGATTGTTAAAAAAAGGTTATCAAGAAGTTGGATAATCTTCTCAGTGTCTGTAGACAACTGCTCTTTGTGTTCTTGCCCTCTCATATCTCAGTTCTTCTCATCAACGTCCAGCTGTATCTTTTAAAGTCCCAGGAAAGCAGTAGGCGAAGCGGCTGACTCTGGTGGTGTAATTGCTGATGTTATCGTGGCATGATAAGGGACTGACCATGGTGCCGCCCATGTCTGAGGCACTCACTGGTCAGCAGTCGTTGGAGAGGCAGTGTACCTGTACGCTGAAGCTCTGCACTCACAATCACAGCTGTGTTTATGCGGCAGTAACATCCCCCGCTGCTGATGCATCCCGCTCCAGATGCACCTGCCGAGACGCCTCATGTCAAACCAAACTGCAGAGCTATTTGTGGAAACAGCTAGGCAAATGTTTGTAAAATGTGCAAGATGCACGTTTTCATTCCTAAGTCAAGGCACAGGTGGCCATTTTTTCATTTTGACGTGCTAGGATTCCGCAGTCAAAACGCTCTCAGTTAAACAGTCCTGTGAATAATTTAGCATCGGACGTTCGTTTAGTTGGCCGCATCTTACTCACAGCAAACGACTCTGGATGTTCTATGAGTATGTATGTTTTATATTCTAATTTACAAACAAGTCCATCTAACACATTTGACAAGGCCAGTGTTCATGAACGGTGACGACGGATGCGGCTTGTAAGTCACAGGTTCAGCTGGCTGGCAGGACTCTACTGCTGCTCTTTTTATATGAAATATGAGCCACAGCATCTATGAAGGATGGCAGAGCTGGCTGACTTGGGCAACCAAAGAGGAAAAAACAGATGATCTGTTCAGAATAGGAAATGATTATATGAATTATTTAAAAATAGAAGAAAAACCAGTGCATATTTATAAAAAAAAAAAAAATTCCTTGGTACAGAAATAGACGTACATTAAAAAAATTGGATGATTTAATTTCAGTACATGTATGGGGTTGGGCGTATATTTGTATTTGACAACACATAAAATATTATACATTATATATGTGTGTGTGTGTGTGTGTGTGTGTGTGTGTGTGTGTGTGTATATATGTATATGTATATATATGTTTTTTTTCCCCCACCGTCGGTTGACCAGTTAGATCAAACCAACAATCAAGTTGCAAACAAATATAGGCTGGGGACATAACACATGAAATATAGCTGATAACACCATGACAACTCCTGAGCTATGAAAGAGCAACCTCTGGGGGAAAAAACATCCCGTGTGTGTGTGTGTGTGTCAAATATACATACATTTATGATTAGAATATATATTGATATATATTATATAATAAATATTTTTACACATAACATTTTATTATATATTCAAACGGTATAAATATATTACATATAATCTATCAGCCATGATGAAAGTTTTTATTTGTATGAAAACTCAGGATGACGATACAATGTGTTAATTATGTTAATTTATTATATAGCATAATGGAAAAATGTATGCAATTAATCAAGCCTCCTGACCGTTTGTAAATTAAATTATGAAGAGCTTTTCTACCATCAGAGCAATTCAAGCTTAAAATACTACGTAAATGCAAAACATTTTCAAGCCTCATCAAAGATAAATTCATCTCAGGTCAATTAATCTTAGATTAATTATTTGGTATATCATGTAATTAATTCAACTAAAATATTTAGACATTTTAGGTGGATTTTTTTTTTATTCCCACTATAATGTTGTTTTTGTTTTTTTAGACTGGATATTTCATAATATTTCCATAGCAATATACAACACAGCTTGAATGACGCCACTTCTCACCTTTGACCGACTGGACACAGAATATGTTTATGCTTATTTAAAGAAGAACTGTTCTTACTGGCCTGAAAGTCATTTATAATTATGGCTCTTTTTAGGGAGCAAGAGTGCAGAACTCGGCCAAGAACCTGGGAGTGAGAGACCGCACCCCATCAACAGTGCCAAGGTAACCAGAGCGACCCGCACACCACTTTCCTGAATCACACACACACACACACACACACACACACACACACACACGTTTACATTTGTGAAAAGTGGGGACTCTCCATAGGCGTAATGGTTTTTATACTGTACAGACCGTATATTCTATTGCCCTTTACGAGCCCTACCCCTAAACCTACCCCTCTCAGGAGACTTTGTGCTATTTCAGATTTTCAATACACTCCATTCTGTGTGATTTATAAGCGTTTTGAAAAGTGGGGACATGGGGTAATGTCCTGAAAAGTCACCTTCTCCTTGTAATACCTATGTCATACCTTTGTCATTATACAAATTGATGTCCTCATTTGTAACAAAAACGCGTAAACACACACACACACACATACACATAATTTCAGTCCCTTCCCATTCACACTGTGGTTTTCACTAACTTTTCATAAAATGTGCATGAAATAATTTTAGACCTAAATGCCACAGTTCAAAGATTTACACATTTCAGAGTAATGTTTAGGCCGCCAGAATTATTACAGCACTATATTGACAGGCCTCAAATACACATAATTTCAGTCCCTTCACATTCACACTGTGGTTTTCACTAACTTTTCATAAAATGTGCATGAAATAATTTTAGACCTAAATGCCACAGTTCAAAGATTTACACATTTCAGAGTAATGTTTAGGCCGCCAGAATTATTACAGCACTATATTGACAGGCCTCAAATATTCTAATGAGAGGTTTGCTGTAAACCTCAAAGTGTTTGGAATGGTTGTGGGTGAATTTCTATTTTTGGTGAGCTATTACGTTAAAGCTATTTAATGTGCAGGCTTATTTTTTATAATGAAGTCATTTCAGCCTAAGGTGGGCTATCTGGTCTACTTTTAAAATAATTTAAAGGGATAGTCCACACAAAAATGAAAACTCTGTTATTATTTACTTCCCCTCATGTCGTTCTATAAATAAATGAATGATTGAATGTATGTATGAATGAATGTAATTGCAATATTTTTTTCCGAGAAAAAAGTCAGAATTGTAAGATATAAACTCTGACTTTTAAAAACTATAAAATCCTGAGTTTATTTCTCAAAATTCTGAGTTTGCATCTTGCAGTTCTGACTTTTTTCTCTAAATTCTGAGTTTACATTTTGCAATTCAGTTTTTTGTTTTCGCCACAGAATAAAAAATAAAAAGTTAATTGCAGCATTTATCTCACAAGTTTTATTTTTCCCTCCAATTGCAACTTCTCAGAATTGCGCGTTTATATCTCACAATTGCTCATCTCTTTATATATCACAATTCTGACTTTGTCTTGCAATTCTGACTACATATCTTGGCGTTCTCAGAATTGTGAGATAGAAAATCACAATTACCTTTTTTTTCAATTTTTATCCTGTGGCAGAAACAAGCTTCCATATCTTATAATAAAAATAAGATCTTAAAAAAGATATTTAAAAAAATGTTGGTAACCAAATGGTGTCGGGTCACATTGACTTCTATGGAATGGACTAAGAAATACTATTCAGGTCAAGTGAACCCGAAACTGATTGGTTACCATTTTTGGGTGGACTGTCTCTTTAAGATTAAAGTTTGAAAATCTCCCTGACTTCACAGAATATTCAGCATTTAAATACAACAATATCAACATTGTAATATGTGCATATTGAATTGTGATGGGCTTCATTTTTGCATCTTTTTACTCATATTAAATTGTGCAGAAGTTTAAAACCTATAGCTCAACTACAGCTACTGAATAACATGATTTGTTTGCTGTCTTGCAAGGGCTGATATTTCTTTCTGCAACTGCAAATCTAGTATTGTAAATGTATGTGTGCTTTTCAAATAGCCTTTAGTGTAGTAATAAGTGGTGCACAGTTTTACTGAAGACAGAAACTCGGGAACAGCTGTTTTACATTTATTCTTCAAATAAACCCCTGGAGTAGAACCGTGCGAAACAAAATATACAGCATTCTTGCAAATGTGCGCATTATTTTGTATTCCTCCATATGCAATGAAATTGAACAGAAACCTGGGGTATTAAATACACAGAACATATTATTCAGCTTCAAATGCATGTCCTCTAGTAGAACAGCCATCACATTACTGCAGGTATGTGCGAGTGTGTGTGTGTGTGTGTGTGTGTGTGTGTGTGTGTGTGTGTGTGTGTGTGTGTGCACGCACAAACGAGAGAGAACATGTACGAGAGCCCGACTCTTTTTCCTGCAGGAAAACAGAATGAGACATACATTAAAAACAGACCCACTCATTCTTTCTCAGCAGGTACAAAACTCCAGCGTAAACTCTAATCTGTCACAGTCACTTGAGGTCTGTAGGGAGATGCAGACCCTCAAGACAATGACTCATAGCTTTTAATAGCATGTTATATGTGATCATTGCTGCGCGGCTTGTTTATTTGGCATATAACAAATGCTGCCTAAATCCAAGGATTTGTATTTAACCTTTTTAAAATTCACTGCAGCTCAGAAGGAAAGTTATTAGCTTGTTTATTACATACATTTAAGTGTATGTGTTCAGTTTCTTGCATCATTTACATTAGCAAGTTGCTTTCTAAAAAAAACATAATGAATGTCAACTATAGTATTACATCCTGTCGTAACTAGGCACAATGTGACAGTCTATCCACATTGTATAACATGACATAATCATAACCAATTAGAACGCGTGGTTTTAAATATACAGCTAAGTAGAAAAGGATTTTGGACCAATCAGATTACACTGAGGGCGGGGCTATTCAACAATTGTTATTAACCCACTGCAACTTAATTATTTATAACTGTTATAAAATTATGGTTTAAAATGTCTATAAGTTTTAATTTTAAATTTTTTTAGTTACATTTTTTAAAGAAATTAATACTTTTATTCAGCAAGGATGCACTAAATTGATTCAAAGTGACAGAAAAAATATGATTCAAAAGATTTCAATTTCAAATAAATGCTGTTCTTTTGAATTTTCTGTTCATCAAATAATCTGGAAAAATATCAGTGTTTACACAAAACTGTTAAGCAGCTGAACTGTTTTTAACATTGATAATAATAAGAAATGTTTCTTAAGCAACAGATCAGCATATATATTAGAATGATTTCTGAAGGATCATGTGACACTGAAGACTGGAGTAATACCGGCTGAAAATTCAGCTTTGCTATCACAGGAATGACTTACATTTTAGAATATATTAAAATAGGAAAACATTATTTTAAATGCAAATAATATTATCTCGTAATGTTGTTTTTACAGTGTTTTTGATCAAATAAATTCATTCTTTCTAAGCATAAGATACTACAAGAAAAACAATCTTACCAACCCCAAACCTTTTAATAGTACTATATAAAAAATGTTTTCTTAAATATTTTACAAGTATATATAATATATATATTTTATATTTTAAAATTGTTTTTTAATTTCATTAACAGATTGTACAAACTGTGCCAGCCTCCACCTCCTGACGGCGACCCCTGAACCCACATCTTCAACTGATCTGGCCAAGCTCTGGTCCAACTCCAGACGACACACACATTGTCCACGTCAAGAGACCCACTGGACGTTCACCCTCACTCTTGCTCAGAGGCAGATCTGTCCCCTCAACTCAAAGGATTCACAGCGTAATATCTATTTGACTTTTGTCAGAGCTTTTTAAAGGCACCATTATTTTTTTGTTTCATGCTTTGCTACGACGCATCTCATTCTAGACCGAAGATCAAACAAACAGGATGTCTGATCTCCCAGCTGCTGTCAAGTCATTCACATCAATTGAGTGTCAGTCATAATGTCTGTTTCAAATACCTTTGTGCTTTGTGTAAAAAAAAAACAATAATTGCACAGTGCTTTATTCTCTGTATGTTAAGGGGTAACTTTTGTTTATAGTTCCTGTTTGGACATACCATCAAAAAGCCTCATTGCAACTGTATGTGCATTTTTTTTTTTTCATCTATTTTCATAAAAATCTTTAACATATGTATAGGTTTGGCTTTCACGTTATTAGGTTTCTCAACTTAGAGTTTATTAACACCATAGTGCATTAAGCTACATGTTGCAGTCTCAGTGAATCTGGAGTGACATACAGTACTGGAAAGTTCGTACGACATGGTCATCAGTGTTGTAGATTTATATATTTGTCACACTTACATAGGTATATAAGTCATTTTGTCTCCACATTTAAAATATTCAGTACTCAGGACAGGAGTTGTTATATGTTATATGTTGCTTAAAATAACACATTAATCAATCATTACTATGCAATATTGAGAAACCGCTCTAAACAGGAATGGTTTATTAACTCCACAAGTTCCATTTTGAGAAATTAAGATATTTTATAAAATACATCTGTCTGACTTAATATGCTCTTGATAAAAGCAGCAAGAAGGGAACATTCATTCATGTGAAAATATTACTGTAAAAAAGTTTTCACTGAAAAAGACAGTTATTTATTTTGTCATAAAACGAACCCATTTCGAGATTTCTTTTTTTAACCTGAAAACCCGATTGATTTCCCAATTATTACAATAAATTGTAATGTCAAATTGTAATTAATTTCAAATAAAAATGTTTAAGAGAAAACACAATCATATTCCTTATATAAAAATCCTTCAGTTTTTGATGGAGCTGTGTGACTAAATATTTACGGAAAAGACTTTAACAGTGATTTTGATTTAACTTTGTGCTGCAAATCTGTCTCAGATCTCTCCAGTGAATGTATTTAGTTTGCGTTTGACAGTATGCATGTGTTGAGTGCACACAAACTCCCAGCTGCTTTATGTGTGGTGCTGTGCTGTCATCCATCAAATGTGTAGCTGGTATCAGACCAGTTAAAGTCTTCAGGAATTTCACTAATGGCCTCTGTATGTAGGCAACTGTCTTTGACAAACATTGTTTGCCTGTCATAATTTTCCCAGGCTCATTGTCACTTGCAAGTTTTGTAAATGGTTTCCAGATGTTTTGTAATAACTTAGTGACACCAATATATAGTGACACAAATGGACTTCATGCCTATGATTAAATTGAAAAAAAAGAAGAAAAAAAAAAATTTAAATATAAATTATTGCATAGAATTATTATTATTATAGACTTTCCGATCCCATATATATATATATATATATATATATATATATATATATATATATATATATATATATATATACAGGTGTGAGAACATTTAAAATCCTTCAGTTTTTGATGGAGCTGTGTGACTAAATATTTACGGAAAAGACTTTAACAGTGATTTTGATTTAACTTTGTGCTGCAAATCTGTCTCAGATCTCTCCAGTGAATGTATTTAGTTTGCGTTTGACAGTATGCATGTGTTGAGTGCACACAAACTCCCAGCTGCTTTATGTGTGGTGCTGTGCTGTCATCCATCAAATGTGTAGCTGGTATCAGACCAGTTAAAGTCTTCAGGAATTTCACTAATGGCCTCTGTATGTAGGCAACTGTGTTTGACAAACATTGTTTGCCTGTCATAATTTTCCCAGGCTCATTGTCACTTGCAAGTTTTGTAAATGGTTTCCAGATGTTTTGTAATAACTTAGTGACACCAATATATAGTGACACAAATGGACTTCATGCCTATGATTAAATTGAAAAAAAAGAAGAAAAAAAAAAATTTAAATATAAATTATTGCATAGAATTATTATTATTATAGACTTTCCGATCCCATATATATATATATATATATATATATATATATATATATATATATATATATATATATATATACAGGTGTGAGAACATTTGGACAGCTTTTTTCCCTTAATAAAAGAAATCATAATTTAAAAACTGCATTTTGCATTTACTTGCATTATCTTTGTGTAATATAAAAATTTGTTTGATGATCTGAATCTTTTAAGTGTGACAAATATGCAAAAACGTACAAAAACAGGAAGGGGGCAAAAACCTTTTCACACCACTGTATATATATATATATATATATACACACAGTATATACATATTTGACATTATTTATATATGTGGTGAACAAAAGTTTTAGCAAGACTTGAATGCTGTATTGTATGTGAGCCAACTCTGGAACTATTTGTTTTAAAAAATGGTTTAGGGGCCGTTCACACAAAATGCGTAAAAAGCAAACAAACATATTTTTTTCATTCTACTGCCCTGCGTCTCGCAATTACGTGTTTAGTGTGAATGGCCCCTATACGTATTAATCATATTACGTATGATTATTACGTATAGCATTTTTAAAAATATCTTTTAATAACTTTTTTTGTTAAAAATGTATTTACTTATTAATCCATTCTTGAACAGCAATCATAGTTTTCATAAATAATAGGCCACTTATTAATGGTTACATCATTTTTTTTAAAAAGTAGAATGCATCGCAGAATGAAATGTGATGCTTATGTATTTTAATGCATTATACTTTTGAAACTGGGATAGGTAGCCTAAGAATTATAATACATTATAGTAATGTGGCTGATTTTCGTATACATACTAGATTAGGCTATAAACCATAAGGAATTCATAAGAATTCTTTATAATGCAAGTTTCATAAAAAGTACGTGTATGTGAATTTAATAATGACACTTACTGTGTGTAAACAACGAGGGCGGGTCTCTCAGACCTGAACAGCCAATGAATAAACATTCATGCAAGGTGTAATGTTTTTGATTGGCTTTGAGAAGAAGCCGTCGCCAGCTACTCTGCCGAGACCGGAGGAGGGATAGTCCCATCCGATAAGATAGTGCCCAAACCGAGGAGGGAGGACGCAAACCCTGGTACTTTCAGCATGTGCTGGAGCAGCAGCCGAGCTCTCAGCGCTGGATGTCCGCTCACTGCCCGCTAGAGATCCGTCCGCACTCCGCAATCCCGCACGTTTGAAGATGCTTGGCGATATTTAACGATATCTAAACCCATTGCTGTTTAACGCAACACATTCTCATGGCGTCTCTACAGCAGTCAAGAATTCAGTCATACCTTGAGAAGAATAAGATCGGACCCCTGGAAAAAAAAAGAAAAAGGACAAAATGGAGTAAATGTAACAATGCAGACAACATTTACAGCATGCTTATACGCCTTGAAATTAATATAATTAAATCTACCTGCACTTAATTAAGGACTTGAACTATCTTAATATTTCCAGTAGAGTGACATACTATGTGGGAATTGAGGATCGAGTTATACTCTAGCTGGTTTGATTAGCATTCACTGTTTTGCCTGAGCACTTTTTTTTTTTTTTTGTGTTCATTGCATGCTGTACCTAAAGTGTGTTATTTCTGCACCACTAGCATCATCAAACAGGATGTATAAGTAATTTATGTATATTTTATGTGCAGTGATTTACTCTTTTTCTTGTTCACACTCTTTGCCTTTAGTGGTTCATTTTAAAAGGTGACTAATGAATAGTCTCAAATAATATGGTCCAAGGTTGCTTGCATAATAATTGTAAAAGAGATGCCAAAATGCTGTTTAAATAGTTTTATATGGAGTACAGCATGTCAACTTTCCAAAGGTATTTAATGTCAATTAAACCCCATTACTGATAATGTATTTTTGAGAAGTGATATTTAGTTCAACAGCACTGTGTGCATTAGTGTCAGGGATTTTCCTGCAGGTTAAACCATTATGCCAGTAGGTGGCATCAAGTGACAAGTGAACAATTTAACAAGTCTTTATGAGTCATTTAAATCCTTTATTCAACGATTCCTTCAAACTCATCGATCAAACACATTGCATACTTCCCTACTATATATTAGGCAAAATACTGAGTGCAAAAAGACGACTTTTTCCCCCATTCATTAGTGAAGAGATATTTTATGACACCCAAGATCTGTATTGAGAAATATATATATTTTTTTCATTCTGTACAGTTTGTAACTGTAACTTAAAGTTCTTTCTTCTTCTTCTTCTTCTTCTTCTTCTTCTTCTTCTTCTTCTTCTTCTCCACCCACACTAAAAAGTGTATTGGGCGACGAGAGCTCTCCAGCGAATGTGATCAAGGGCCAGATCATTGGCTTCTTCCCATGTGATGTTTAGGTAACTGAGGTCATTGATGAAGGTTCGGTGCCAGGTCAATCGTGGTTGACCCCTGTATCGTCATCCTCCAGGTGGAACGCACTGGTGGAATGCGGCTGCTTTCCATCCATATAATGTGTCCAGCCAGCCACAGGCTGCAGTATGTAATCATTATGCTAAGGCTTGGCATATTGCTTCGTCGCAGAACTTCCTCATTGGTTATGTGATCGTAGTATCGAATACGTAGTATTCTTCGCAGACAGCGCTGATTTTTCGGCACTAATGTGTAATCCGACCTTCGCTGCTTTTTCATGCAAGCTTGATGTTATTTCCTGTAAATGGTAACTGTTTTCAGCGAGCAGAGCTATATCATCCGCAAAATCAAGATCAGTGAGGCGGTTCTGTCCATCTCAATCAATGCCTGCATTTGGTCTTACCATAGCCTTCCTCATGGCAAAATTTAGGGCCACTATGAATAAAAATGGTGACAAGATACATCCTTGTCTTACACCGGTCTCAATGGCAAAGAAGTCAGTGTGGCCTATATCTGTCTTGACGCAGCAGCTGGAATTGTTATACAATGATTGGAAGACAGATATGAATTTTCTTTGGCACACCATACAATTGTAAAATATGCCATAAAGATTCACGAAGGAAACTATCAAAGGTTTTCCTGAAATCGACAAAATTGATGGAAAGTGGACGTTTATACTCTACGCATTGTCCAATGATGTTTCGTAAAGCATAGATTTGCTTGCTGCTTGAGCGTCCTTTCCGGAAGCCAGCCTGTTCTTCTCGGAGATGTTTGTCAACGGCTGCCTGCAATCGTCTTAGGAGACTGTGGAAAACACTTTTCCTGGTACTGACAGGAGGGTTATGCCATGCCAATTTGTACATTCTATTTTATTCCCTTTTTTTGGTAGTTTAATGATAGTACCCTTTTTCCAGTCTTCAGGAACAGCTTGCATCTGCCAACACGCGTTAAAGAGATCTGTAAGCTTCGCAACTACAATGGGACCACCATATTTTAGAAATTCTGCCTGAATTTTATCCAAACCAGCTGCCTTATTTGATTTCTGTAACTTTATGGCAATTTGAACTTCTTCTGCTGTTATATTGCCTTGTACCACATCTAGCTCCTCCTGCGCTTCCTCCTTACCAAAGTCATAGGTGTTTAAGGGAAGCGGCTGATTTAATGTCTCTCTGAAGTATTCGACCCATCGGTCGTTCTGTTCCTCCCTGGTAAGGAGCAACTTACCATTCTTGTCTTTGATTGGAACAGAGGAACTACTCCAGGCTCCTGATAGGTCTTTAATGATTCGGTACAGGGTGTGGGTATCATTTCGATCTGGGCTTCTTTGCATTTCTTCTCTAACCAATCTTTCTTATCTCGCCTACAGGTCAGCATATGCACATGATGCTGTTTTCTTATCCTCAACCTCTTGTGTTTGATCCCACTTCTTTTTGGTCTTCT